CCGCCATTGCAGAATATTTTTAATTGTTAATTTATATGTATATACACTTTACTGTGATAAAATACGTGCCGATATTATGAGGTTATATTTAACGAATATTGATTTTTGATATTTACATAACTTTTTTCAAAATTCTTTACAGTTAACAATGTTATCTTGATTACATAAGTTGAATTTTAAATGTATAGGTACAAAAAATTCAAGATAAGTCGGATGAATACTCTCATATTAGCGGGATTAATCATTGTAATTTTTGAAAAATAAAGAATTGTTAAATTTTTTATAATAAATTTTTTAATACAAATGTTCTTTAAAATTCCGTTATTATCGGGTTCGGCTCATCTCGAACAGTTGGTACCCGAGAAACTTTTGTACCCATACATATAAAAAATTACAATAACGCATGTATTTTATTATTATTAAATATATTCTTTACTAACCACTATTGCATAAGGAAATCATTCTATCTGTTTATTTTTAATAAAAGATGATTTTTAGTCACGTGTGGCAGAACATATTTTCTCGCGAATGTTAATGTTATATTAAAGATGTGATAAAAGTGGTAATTGTAATTGACATGTTACCAAAATTATTACTATCGCTAAGTAGTCTGAAAGATTCGGGATTCACACCGCAGTCCTGTAACAAGATCTGGTATTTGACGGATTGCTTAACTTTTCTTTGCAAATGGATCTTGTGAAATTTATGTAGAATCAAAAATTAAGTTTGCTTTCCGCTATGAAGATTGTTCTTTGTATCGGATACTATTCAGCATACCACGAGACGGAGAGATTTTGATATAATGAAATTATTGAAATAGTTATTTTGAACGCGATGAAAGTACTATTATAAATATATTAATGACATTTTATCGCATTATTAAGTTTTATATTTGCAAATTAATAGTAAATAATTAATAGTAAATACGATCTAATTGTTGTTAGTATTTCTTCTGCGTTTATCAATATTTTATTAAACATTGGTTTAGGAAAATTTATGTTATCGCCATATATATTTTCGACGTTTTCGTATAATCCCGCATTTTGTTAAAATTTGCAAAAATTTGTTAATTATGCTCCTATGTTATCATTTTTATTATATTTTGAGCAGCATTGATAATTGTATATTGTATTGTAAATAATTATTATTTGTAATATCGAATTGTATAAAGGATAATACAATAAGGAATAATATTTAAAGAGTTATTGCAATTTCATTAACAAAATACAATAAAATAATTAGATATAAAAATAGAAAAATAAATTAAAGATATACTTACCTGCAAAAATAGGCTACTAAATTAGTAGTTTGTTTATTTGATGGATGAGTATACTTACAAAAAAAAGAGGACCGCCAATAAAATTGGCAGGGGTGGTGGAGGGCCTCGTTTTTACTAAATTATACCTTAAATGGACAATATATGTTTAGAAGAGATTAAATTTATTAAAAGTTTCTATAATTATTAGTAATTATAGAGACTTTGATACATACTAGTAATTATAGTCGGCACGCTTCTGTCCTGAGAATTTAGTACAGAGACGAATCACATCTACTTTCGATGATACGATTTTATCGATAGTGTCAGAAAATGTATGTAGTCACGTAGTTCCCAAAATGAAAATGGATGTACGGGTGATTTCGATTGTAACAGGAAAAAAGCCGGCATGACCTCTCTTAGGTTTTTCTCTGATGCAACCAAGGGAAAATGCTAAACACCCGTTTCCATCAATGTAGATTAACTTTAATCTTGGTTCAACTTACTCTTCGTCTTTTTCTAATTTTTAAAACTAGAAAAAGACGCAGAGTAAGTTGAACCGAGATTAAAGTAAGAGGATCCCTTTTGCTTACAATCCCGATTGCACACACCACTCATATCAGCTGATGCTTAGTAATTTTATACTGCTTTACCAATGAGAATATTTTATTTTTAAATTGGCCAATTAGCAACGCATGTGTGCAACATGCAATGTGTGTAATCAGAATCTTCCCGATTAAAGTTAATCTACATTGGTGGAAACGGACATAAGAGTAAGAAATTAGTAATACTAATTTCGTGATTTATTAGTTTTGTGATGTTTAAAACTAATTAATAATACTTGATTTTTATTTAAAACTGTGATTTTAAGGTTATCATTCGAGTTTGATTATCAATATAGGGATGATAACTGTAGAGAAAAAATTGTAATTTTTCGGCAATATATAACTTATATAAGATATTATAGCATTAAAAGTGTGCATATTATATAGCATTTATATAATAAAAAATCATGAATTTAATAATGTATTATTGAAAATAATGTATTATTGTAATATTTATGTTAATAATCATAAATTTTTATTAATTGTCAATAACGTTATCGTTCGCCAATTATTCCCGGTCTTTAATAAGTATTTCGTCGATGACGAATATTAAGCGGCAATTTTGATCATGTGATCTATTTTGACGCTGAATGAGCGTTGAGCGTCTGCATGAAAAGGCACCTGCAGGCTTTGGTTTATTTCTAACCTAACTAACCTAACTTTACCAGGAGTAGGTTTGTTGTGTTTGTTGCTATTGAAGTATGTATTGCACAGACATGTGTGACAATGTCGTATCAAGACTCCGGTTTTTCTACGATGTACGATCGTCAGGACGACTATGATCTCGACGAAGACAATGAAGAGTATTTGGAGGAGGATAGGGATGCCGAGGAGCAAGATGAAAGCGATGAAGGTAATAATAAAAAGAAATTATATACATTTGCATGAGGAGTATTTTTCTCGCATGATTTCATATCCTTAATTTTTAGAGTTATACCTTCCCTATATTATATATTAAGTAATATGTAATATAAATTAAGTAATATGTTGAAGAATATTTGTAAAAATTAATAAATTTTTTTAGATACCGAAGAGGCAAGTGAAACTGATATGGGAAAATCTGAAGAATATACAGAAATCAAGGAACAGTAAGTCTGCAAAGTTACTATACATGAATTTATTTATTTATTTATACTGAAAATTATATTTTATATGCAATCTTTCAGAATGTACCAAGATAAATTAGCTAGCTTGAAAAAGCAGCTGCAGCAATTGAAGGAAGGCACACATCCTGAATACAATCGTAAACTAAAACGACTAGAAGCGCAATATAAGGAACGGTATTATTTATAATTTCTTTTTATCAACACGATTATTCATATGAATTTTTTCTAATTGAGATGTTATCTTTGCCAGACTGAGACTGAATATAGTTTATCGGGATTACTTGACGGAATGGGTTGAGCGCGATTATATATCTGAGAAGAAAGCAGCAGCAAAAGAATTTGAAGAAAAAAAAATCGATCTTAAGGAAAATCTACTTACTGATATGGAGGAAAAACGAAAAATGATTGAGACAGATCGTCACACAATGGAACTCACTGGTGATTCTATGGAGGTATTTCAATTTATTTTTAAATTAACTTAAATAATACACACACGCGCACACACACACACACACACACACACACATATGTATACAATGTATACATGGTATTTCTAAATAAATACATATGTATACATGGTATTTCTAAATAAATGTAAAAAATTTTAGATTATCTTTTGTCAAAAATTAAAGAGTTTTTTTACAATATATAAACATGTATATGTACTCCTATATCCCTTTCTGAGGAGTTACATTCCTTAAAAAGATAAGGTAAACATTAAGTTTATTTTTTTTTAATTTTGGATAAGATATACAAATGAAGATGATTAGAGTAACAATAATCAAAATTATTTAATTTATTAATAAATTTTTAATGATCTAAAATAAAGATCTCTTTTTGAAATATAATAAGGAGGTTATTAATATTACAAAAAAATAAAAACTTAATTTTTACCTCTCCTTTTAAAGAACTTAAAGAGGGCTGCAGAGATATGAAAATTATATGAAAAATTCTCCTTAATTTTTAATAAAAAGATCATCCCTCAAAATTTTTTGCATTTATTTAGAAACACTCTGTATATATATATTTTTCTTACTGACATCATTCTATTTTGTAATTAGGTAAAGCCTGTAATGACGAGAAAATTACGCAGACGTCCCAATGATCCAGTACCTGAAAAAGTAGAGAAACGGCGAAAACCACCTCCTGCACAATTAAATTACATATTGGACGATAAAGATATCGAACTTGACTTAAAAGCAATCAATCGTGCAAAAGCGCCGACCACTATTCGCAAACCAGGTGCTCAGTACTTAATATCTTAAAATTCACGATTCAAAATACTATAGCAAAATATCTTGGAAAAATTTAAGTAATGAAAATCTATGACCCCTTTATTTCTTGTAATTTGTACAAAAATTTACAAAATTTTGAATAGTTGCGAATTATAACTTTATGCTATGATTACAATATTTAGTGTTTAGTTTTTCCAGAACTATAGTATTTGATCCTTGCGAATTTTATGATACTTTGTACATAGATGTAAAGAAGCGAACCTAATCAATGTAAAAACTAAGAATAAGAAATAAATTTTTTAGTTAATACACATTTTTTAGTTAATAGAACTGTATTTACAGTAGTTTTGCCACATTACAACGCGGTAAATATTCCATCGCAACATATATCACAGCCGCCTGAAACCCCATTGGTTGAAACTCGGATAGAAGACGGGAAATTATTATATGAGCGAAGATGGTACCTTTGATTTATTTCTGTATTACTTTATATTCAACTACTTGAATTCTTCTTAAATATAAAGGAATCCTTTCGTCGAATTTCGTTAAAGGTTTCATCGTGGTCAACCTGTCTATGTTGAAGGCAAGGATCTTAATAGATTCGCAGCTAACATTTCTGCAATTGGCACCGAAGCGGTAAGTGTTTAAAGCATTAAATAAATCGCGCATCATCGCAAGATATTTATTTTTTTAGATTTGGGTGAAGAAAGTAACGGACAGCAGCAAAGTACGCATTTATACATCGCAGTTGAGTCGTGGAAAGATCTCCATCAAACGACGAGCTTCCTAATCAACTTCTTTATTATCCTCGATATCTATTGTTAAACTTGCGACACATCACACTTATTGTTTCTATTTAAAGCAATATTTTTCGGCATTAAATCAATAATTTTCACGCTACTGGTTTTCTGCCACCAGTAAAACCATGCTTTTTGATGATATCGTACTGCCATGTAGATCCAAACGAAGAAAGACAGGATTAGTAACGCCATCATTGTTAGTAAGGAATAGGTAGTCCATCGCGCGGGTGGAAAATTGTCGTAATTATTCATAGCGTAAAAATCGGCAGCCACTACACAGATGTAAGAACACGCAATGGTCATTGGTGTCACTATAAGACATCTTAGTAGATCGGCCTTCACATTGCGGACATACATCTGATCGCTGTGATTCAGGTATAACCAGATTATAACAGATCGAAGAACCTTGTAACGAGGCGTGCGTTCCATGCGGAACTCGTGGCCGCACAATTCACAATTATTCCTATTGCTTTCTTCTAACCACCGTTCCAAACATTTTAGATGGATCGCGCCCATTGTTCCCTAATCCCAATTGTCATTATTATAATTATATAGTTATTGTGAAACATGGACATATTTTTCAAATGTATTTGATTGAAAAAATTAAGTCACTTTAAATTAAAATCTTTATAATTTATTAAAATAAAAAAATTAAAATAAAAAAGAAAGAAATACATATAGAGCTATTTAAATTTTCAATATCCTGGATCTTCAGAAATTTTCAACTTTTAGTTTTCCTAATTATTGTGTATAATGGAATTTTGCACTCTATCCTCCCGAACCTTACACTTGCACGGATACATAATAGGTAGTTCTTGATTAGGATCATAACAAATACGACAGTGTACGTCTTCCATCGAATCATACGATAATCGATTTCTTTTTTCTGATGTAACATTTTCGAATTCCGATTGGTGTATGTGTAGCGATTTCTGCTCCAATTCTGTTTCTATTTTTGAAATTATACTATCCAAAATGTCAGTTATCGAATTGCTTTTCTCAATCATTATGAATGAAATTTCTGCACAAATATTTTTATAAACAAACAAACTGCACGAAACATAAGACGAATGTGTCATATAATTCATAGATGTGTTGGAAAAGGAGATTAAAATAAGGAGCTTTATTATTGTGTGTATAAAAATTTGTATTATATTATAGTGGATACAGTTGAGTTAGTCGCGTGAAATAATCTTAAAGAGCCATAACTATATGTGCACTTTATAATTAATGAGTAAACTATAAACGAATGTTTGTTACTCCGCCATCATATCCACACTGAGACAATCTTCACCCATATTACTAGGCGACGTCTCAAGTTCTCCAATTTCATTAGATTCACTAAAAATTGGTTATTTTAATAATTTCATTTTTATTAAAGATCCAAAAAGGGATAAAAAATATTTATTAGTAACAAATAAACTTACCTGTCCAAAGAAGGATCATTACTAAACATCTCTGTTGGAACTGTAGGTGGTGCTTTCTCTGGCACAAGTTCCAGATATGTCTGGCGAGATTCCAAATGTCTTTCTACTTCCTCAGGTGTCATATGTCCGTCAGACATCAAGGACATTGGAACCAAATTATTCGTGGATTGTACCTGAAGTAACAAAAATCCATATTATGATAATCTTGTAATAAAATGTAATTTTTAAACATGAAATATATAAATGTATTTACTATAGGTGTGTTGTTCGTTTTAGCAACTTTTGGAGCACTCCTTTTCTTCTTACTAGTGCTGAGTGGTTTTGTGACCATAGACGAATGATGAGAAGTATGATTATTGATATTCATCTCAACTTTTTTCCTAAAAATTACATAAATTCATATAATAAACAATGAATAAAACTTATGCTTTATAGGTAGTTTCTTTTTATATCATATAAGTATTGTTGATACACAAAATTACCAGATGTCTTTTTACTAGTATAGAGTCTGCACAATATTTTAAAATAAAAATCCTATATAAAAATGACAGGATTATATTTTTCAAATAAATAATTAAAGTTGGTTATTATAGCAGTTACAATTAATACGCTCAAGTATCATATATTGTATAATAATGTCCTTATGCTAGGACTCAATTATCAAATATTAATATAATTAAAGTATTTACAGTAAAATTAGCATAAATTCAGTTTTCTATTTTAAAGTGTTAATAGTTTCATAAGATATTAATTTATTTAAAAAATTAACTAATTAAAAAAGTATTATAATCTCGACATTTATAAGAATCTTGTATACGAATTTTTTTCCTCCTATAATGGTGCATAGAATCTGCCAATGAAAAGACATCCAGTAATTTGGGAACATCCTGTATGATAATAAATAAACATTTCAACACAGCTTCTCATTGGTTTATGATAAAGTTTCCTTTATTTCATAACCTGATTATTATATAATTTTCTTACCTCTTAGAATTATCAAGACGAACAACTTCTTCATCTGATGAATCAGTTTCATCGCTTTCACTAAATGACGCATCTACTTTTTCATATTGCAGCAAGCGATCTAATAGGAAACTTTTATCTCTATTCACCTTGAGCAGTTTCCTTTGTGTAGAACGCAAAGCTTCTTGGAAACATTCATTCTCCTGCAACATAATACATATTTTATTGTGAAATAAATAATATAGATAAATATTAGATATTGAAATATTCCTTGCATACATAAATCAAAAATTTCAGCTTCCGTTTGAGATTGCGATACTGGTCCTTATAATTAGGCACTTCTTCCTCGGGACTCTCCTCATCGTCTTCTTCTTCTGCATTGTTGTTGGCAATGGATCTGCAATACCATCCTTCCAACATTGATCATCTGCAACTATAAAAAAAATTGCTTTTTTAACTGTCAACACTCATAGAAACACTTCTTTAAATAAAACTTGTTTATTAAATTTCACATTACAATACAAAATAACTAGTGCAGTAAATTATTAATAAATTTGAACAAAAAAGAAATTTATCTAGACACATATTTTTTATCAAAAAGAAATTAATGAATAGGCAATCAATACAAAATTAGAATATAAACTCAACAAAGAGTTCTTCAGAGACGCACTTTGGTTTCGTGCTGGGAGGTTAAGTCGCGCAAGAAACTCGTTAACTTATGCGTCAGCTGTTAAATTGTGCAAGGAAACGAATGTCGAGCTGTAACGAGCCGTAATATTATCAGCCGATTTTCTTTTGCACTCACTTGAAACCCCAGAACGATTTGTCGCACGTCGCAAGCGCTCGCGGCGGCCAATTATTGCGAAGATAAATAAGCTGTTTATGACTGGCTTCCATTCTGAACTCTTTATCGATTCTGTAGTAACTTCAGCGCCTTGCCGGTCGAACGGAAGCGCGCGTCGAATCATATCAGTGCTGTAAATATCAAGAAAAGAAAACATCGAGACATGATGAAATATCCCTAGTAATTTGAAAAGTATTTTACACATCAAAAGCTATAAAATATAATTTTTTAATGAAAAAATTAATACTTTTTTATGTCATTATTATTGATAAATTTTTATTTTTACAATATATGCAAAAGAAGGGTAAAGAGCCAGTAATGTAGTAACAAAATTTAATTAAAATTCAATCATAAATTACAAAACGACTACACAAACGTTTCGATTCCGCTCCGAGTCATTTTCAATGTTGCGGTAATATTAAAACATCGCTATAAAAATATCTATAATATTACATTCTTCATATCGTATAGTGCTTTGCGAGTCAGTTATATCAAAATTCATTGAAAAGCGGAATCGAAACGTTTGTGCAGTCGTTTTGTAATTTATGATTGAATTTTAATTAAAGTTTGTTACTACATTATACTGGCTCTTTGCCCTTCTTTTGTATATATTGTTTTATACTTACAGAGCCTTATTATTATTTATTAATTTTTTATTTTTACCATTTTACAGCAAGTTTATTTTTGCCATTTTACAAACGGATAATTATTTTTAAATAACTGACATTTTTTATTTCCATGATATAATATGTAGCAAATTCGATTGGATGCACTCAATGTGTACTGGTGCATATTAAAGCCATTGTACATAAATTGACATAAAAATATTTAATATAAATATAAAAATGGATTAAACCTCAAATCGGATGAAATCCTCAACACATCTTGGTAAAAAATTGTTTATGCATAAATGTATATAAATATGTATAAACATATATATATATATAACTATGTATAAATATTCATAAACATATATAATTATATAGGTATATGAAATATGTCCATGCATGTCCATATACATACATCCTTCTTTTTTTTGTAAAATTACTTTTTAGTGTAATAAAAATAATAACAATAATAATAAAAAGACATTAAAAATAATTAAAAGGATTATCTTTGCATTATTTGTTTTAGAAGAAATCAAGTTTGAAAAAATGTAAAAAATTGCTGAGTAAATGTTGTATACGTAAATAGTACTATTCTTTTTGACTAAACTTTTAAACTAGTTTATCTTTTTTCCTCTTCTTTCTTCTTGGAGAGAAAAGGAAAAAAGATAAACTGGTGCAAAAGTTTAGCTAAAAATTTAAGAACAGTTCTAATATTATATGCGTTAATATTTACTGCAATTTGTTAACAAAATTCGAATAAAATATTATTAACTCTTAGATAAATATAAAAATATGCTTTGAGGAGATTTTGAATGTATTTTTTCTTTCAATTCAAATAACATCAAATTTTTTTATTTTTTATTTTTTAATAATTTATGTATGCAGTAAATAATGTTTTCCCCGAGTATGCAATTAAACACATACTTGCTGGTTATCAGAGAAATATATACGAAAAATTACGCATTTAACAAATTTTTGTTGTGCACTTACCAGCTCATTGAACCTGAAGATATACAATAAATTACGCTTTCAACCGTGTATATTGATACACACAAAGCTTTATTTTATTTTGAAAAAATTAAAAAATAAATGATATATAAGTTCCTGAGACATAATTTTTATAACGTTGTTACAACTTGCAAAGAGTGTATATTCCTTTTAGAAAAAAATAAAAAACTGAAAAACATTAATTTTTATCACAAATATGACTTGCGCAGTTCTTCTGCATATTTCTTTTTTAAATTAAAAATTTGTTCAAAAATTTCTAAAATACAATAAAAATATAAAAATAAAAATTAAAAAGAATTTAGAAGAAATTTTACAATAAAGTTTTTTAAGAACGATCTCCTTTATATATCTTTTAATTTTTCTTTCCTGAGGCTGTTTCTTACAAAAATGTGCGTATTTTTTTTAATATATTAGGAGTGTGATTTAGTTTTGAAAGTTTTGTAAGAAATGTTCAATGTTGTCGAAGACATTTCAATCACAGCTATTATTTTTTTAATATTACTTTATGATATTTAGTCATTTACTAACAATAAATGCAGTAAACATCGTGTTTGTACCATTTAAAAAATGGAGCTTCCTAAAGAGCATTTTCGATATGCATTGATCGAATGTTTTTTAATCAGAAGAAAATAGCGGTTGAAGGTCATAGAATTTTGATAGAAATTTATGATATTGTTCCATCAATTAAAACACATGTGAATATTGATTCTGTCGATTCAAAAGGTTCTGTCGATTCAAAAGTCGATTCAAAATGCTAATTCTATTAAATTACCGCAGTAATATCACGAGTTAAATTGACTAGCAATTTAACAAATTTTTGATGCTTATTCGCATCTTCGAAACCATCTTAATAATGTTGAATGACATATTAAAAGAATTAATTATTTACAGATTTTAATATGTCATTCAACATTATTAAGATGGTTTCGAAGATGCGAATAAGCATCAAAAATTTGTTAAATTGCTAGTCAATTAAACTCGTGATATTATTGCGGTAGTTTAGTAGAGTTAGCGTTTCATGACCAAAAAATTATTTTGGCGCGCGTTTCTAGGGACTACATACATAGTATATAAATTCAAGAATCATACAAGCATTAAGATCTAGCTAGACCGGTTAAAGCTTTGATTTCTATAATATATGGGATATGTTTAGGACATTATACTAAAATGAAAGTTTTAGAATATTATTGGTCTTATTAAATAAGCACTCTCAAAAATGTTCTAAAACACTTCCATAACATTCTGATCCA